ATCCACCCTTTGTTTCCACCTTTTGGGGTCCGTCATGGCAAGCCGCCAGGCAGGGACTTGGCCCATCTTGAGTTTCTCATGACAGGTTTGATCGATCTGCCCTAGCCATGACCTCTTGGGTTGTCCCACAGGCCTCCTTCACCCAGGGTTGTCTCTTACAGAGACAACCTGGTGGGCAGGATCATCCTGTGGGAAACGAGCCAGGTGGCCATATAGCCTGAGTTGGCGATCACAAATTATGCAGGTAATAGGTCCTGTGCTGCCGTTGCTTGGACACCAATAGTACGCCATGATCCGGCACAAGGACCTATAGTAGAAGGCATTAAGGGGAAGAGTCATTGGTACGATCACGAAATTCGTTATCCGGTCCTCCTTGCTTTAGTTTTTTAGCTAAGTCATTAATTATTTTACACAATGTGCATGGATATGTGATGCTTGAGCACAAGAAATTTTATTGAAAAAAGCTACTAAATTTTTGCACTAAAAAAAAAAACAGACAAACGAGCAAGATGCTAGAATTCGAAAACTCTGTAGTAGTTTCCTTATAGTGAATAGTACTGCAGTTTCCCTCTGACCAGAGTTAGTCAACAAATAGGAGTACCAAATGTAGCATCTATGTAAATCTATCTGAAACGACAATGTTTCAGTTACCTTGCAAAAAGTGCCTTTTTCTTTTTTTATCAGAAAATCCCCATTAATTTTTTTCAGTAAAAAAATGTATTTGGTGGAAATAATACATGACTTTGCTACAGTTAGTAGATACGAACTGGACGATCATTTTGCAACAAGAATTATTAAAATTGCGTAATTACATACAAAGTTATGCTTACTATCATGCATAAAAATATGATTTTGAGAAAATAGCAGTTTTTATAATTCATCTTCATTACACAATAAAGATCATACCAATAATTACCAAATGTGAATATCTATTTAGACAATTCCTTGGCCTTTAATAGGAGTCCTATGGTAAAGGGTCAGGCCTTGTTCAGGTAATTTTAGGATTAGGTTAGGTTAGGTGGGAGTGTTCTCTGAAAAGTATGCTTTCAGATGTCAAGGCTCCTGGCTCCCTGTCATTTACATATCATAGTTCATCATAAATCATATATTATGCATTTCTTATATATAAATGACATATTGCCAGGTTTTCAACAGGTTGTAAACAAAACGTGTTCTCCCGAAAACTTTATCAATCGCACTGTTCTCCCGTCCTTGCTGCTGCTGCCTGCCTGCTGAACGCAGCCTAAACTATCTTACAGCAGTATCATACCAAAGAAATGTGCAAAAACAGCCCAAAAAACGCTGAAAATACAAGAAAAACAAAGCATGAAGCAAAAAGGGGTGTGGCAGCGTGAGGGCATTTAAATACTCCAGACCTTTAAATGGTGGAAAGGAGCGCGTTACGCATCTGGCAACCGGCGCCCGGGGTGTGTCACATGCTCATGTATCCACACACAAAGTATGAAAAAATCGTAATTTGTGACCTGTACTGACGACTCTTCACCTTAAGACAAGACTCCAAGGCACAGGATAATGTCCAGGTTTCACTACCTTTTAGCAAAACTGGCATTATCAGGGCCTTGAAAACCCGTAGCTTGGTCCTTCTGCACAGGGACCGGCATCTCCAAATAGTCTTGTCGAGAGAGTTCATGACCCCTGCTGCCAGGCCAGTCCATCTGCTAACTTCTTGGTCTGACAGCTACACTACCAAGGTATGTAAAGCTCTCTATGACTTCAATGTCCTCGCTGCAAGCACATACTGACCAAACAGGTTCTCCTAGCAAGTCCCCAAAGTCCTGGAGACCTCTCAACCCAAGGGCTTCACTCCATTACAAAATGCATCAAGAGCCACCACTAAGGTTTCCAAAGACTCAGATAGAATAGCAACATCATCAGCAAAGTCAAGGTCTATAACCTTGATATTGCCAAGTGTTGCTCCACAATGACTTTGAACAGTAGCTGTGCCCAGTATCCAGTCCATGCAAGTATTGAAAAGTGTTGGTGCAAGGACACAGCCTTGCCTCACTCCTGAACTAACAGGAAAGAAGCTCGACAGGCCCACACTACACTTTACAGCACTTTCAGTACCAGTTTACAGACTTGCTATTAGTCTAATAATCCTTGTTGGAATTCCTCTCAGTCTCAGGATCACCTAGAGTGAATCCCGATGCACTGTATCGAATGCCTTCTTGAGCTTGATGTAGGCTGCAAGCAGCCCATGCCAGAACTCACAACGGCGCTCTACAATGACTCGAAGAGCAAGGATACTGCCTATTGTTGACTTACCAGGAGTGAATCCAGATTGCTCCAGCCTCTGATGCCTCAGTAGGTGGTTTCAGATATGTCTCAGAAGGATGTGGGCAAGAACCTTGCCTGGCACCCTGAGTAGTATGATGCCTCGGTGATTGCTGCAGTCCCATTGGTCCCCCTATCCCCTTCCAGAGAGGGATGACCACACCCCTCAACAGGTCAGAGGGAACAGTACTGGACCACCAGATGG